GGTGCTTGGTGGAGACAGGGCTGGAAGGAAAAGGCGGCAGGTTAGTGACGGCCGAGACTGCCTTCTCCTCCCTCCCGTCCCCACACCCTGCCCGGAGGCTCACCCGCCGACAGCCAGGCGCACAGCAGCGCCCCGAAGAGGAGCCGGGCCTCCATGCGGGCTGGCGGGACGGGGGCTCCCCGCGAGGCTGCGGCCCTCAGCACTGGGGCGGGGCAGCCGAGGGGTTTATCAGCCGCTTGCCCGCTCTCCGCCCTTCCCCAAGCACCCACCCCGGACACCGCCCCTCCCTGTAACGGAGCTCCTGGCCCCAGGCCGGCTGCTGCCCCCGCAGCCGAGCAGCTCCGGCCCCACTAACACTTCTCCCTGACTGCCCTTGCCGGGCCCTGACCTCGACGGCTCCTCACGCTTATTTCCACTTTTCCGTCCTTCTGGGATTTAGGAAACGATTAGTGTCATGGCTTCTCAGCAGGAGCTGAAATGTCTGCGGCGGGGTGCGGTGTAAGGCTGCGCCTCACCTCTAACGCGAACAAACCCGGGGCTTTGCCTTTGCTCCTGGGAATGGCGCACGACTGAGAACTGCTAGCTTGCAGAGAGCTGCCTGCCTGTGCTGAGAGGCAGCAACCGTTGTCGATGCTTAACAGGGAGCATTGGCCCCGACCCACTGAAACAGGTGTCAGAACTTGAGTAATGAAAGGCATGAGTAAGGCATGAACTGAATGCAGCAAGTGGCTAATGTGTATGGATTTTTTCCACAGCTTCTGATAACTTTTATTTGCTATAAATTCACACTCTTGAATTTGGAGCTCTCTGTGGACCCTTCTCTAGGTTAATTCTTTTTTTTTTCTTCCTTGTGATTAAATTTGCTGTTTTACCTTTCTTCCATTGTTTTTCTTCCCTTTTCCTATTGCTGTTACCTTTTTTCTGTTCTTTTCCCTTTCCCATCTGCTGCTGCTGCCTCTCTCCCCATCATTCTTCAGGTTTGCATATCTTATAACAGAAGCTTTAGAAGCTGCCCGTACCAAGTGAGAAACTGTCTCAGATGAAAAGGGGCCTTTTCTGACTGCTTTAGGAAGTCTGTTAACAGTAAGTCATTAAAAAGATCTCTTTTCTGCCTTTGTAATTTGTCCCTGTGGATTGTGTTTCTTGCTGCAACAAGTGTTTTATTTCTAATGAAATGATGGAAAACTAGTGATGTTTTCACTGAGAATTCTGTTCTCCCCTGTAAATGTTGGAGGGAAAATGTGTATGAGAGAAAAGAAAGTGAGACAAAAAAGATATTCTTTAACTTCAGCACAGCCTTTTCCCAATAACCCCAAACAGATTTTTAGAATTATGTGCTAGCCTCAGCCTGTAGCAAAGCCCATCTACTCTGAATGCACCGTGCACTTGGCTTTGGTGCACTTCCTCTGATCCAGATTACATTAATGGAAGTAGTGAAAGTAGATCAAAAGCAACAGGAATCAGTTTACACAACACACATTTTAATGTATTCCTTTGCCTACTAAATGGGCTGCCCACTTTATTCATTTTCCCTTAATGCCACAAGTAGCAAACAATAACTGAAACTAGTTTAAAGCTAATTTAGATGCAATTTGATTTCTTGCTATGGAAGACTTCATTATCCAAAACTAATAAACAGTCATAATTGTACCATCTTTTAATATGACGTATTTGAAGTAATGGAAACTTTGGAACCATCTCATAAATTTTCTGATTATCAAACTTTGAGTTTTGGAGCATAGGATAGCTTTGTGGGTTTGTTTGCTTTGTATTTATGCACAGTAGAGCACAGGAATTCATGTAACACAGCAGACTAACAGCCCACCAAGTTTGTTATCCTTTCTGTGGTGTGTCCTTTACCTGATGATTCAGAGCAGTTTTTACATCACCAAATGAAGTTAAATCCACAATATTTTACTACATGGAGGAGTTTCTGACTCCTGGAAAATTTATCTGTATGATAAAAAAAGTTACTTTCTTTCAGATGTACATAACTTTCAGCTTGTAAAAGATCAATTCCTGTAAAGCCTTCTAGAAGCAATTGATAGATATCAGACTGCTACAGTCCATATGTAAATTTAAAGGAAATGTACATGGTATTTTATGTGTCCTTTAAATTTCATGTATCTCCTTCCTTCTCTTTTCAAATGTAAGACAATTTTGTTTTGCATATGCAGGGAAGAAGTTCTATAGCTGTGTGTCTCATGCTTGGACAGAATAGCTTTTCAATATTGTGTGGTACTGGAACCTATCCTAGGTAGAAGACAAATTATTTGTGTACTAGTAGTTGCAATTCTAAGAGAAAATTGTTTTCTGAAAACAGTTTTTGCATTTGTTTGTACACAGGCTTAAAATGCATTTCTCTTTTATTCCTGACACCTGATATGAGAAATGGGTAGTGTACCTACCATTGAAATGTTCCAATACAGCAAAGCCATCTTCTGAAAGCGGTGAGAGCAATTTCTAAAGGAGCTGGTGTAGCTTACGAAGGTTATCATGCAGAAATAATAAAACAGATTCCAGTTTGTATTTGGCACTATGGAATTTTTTTTTTTGTCGTGCCTTTATATGTATTCATGCAAGTTTCCACTCTGTTGGAAGGAGGAGCAGGTAAGCTACCTGTGCTTACATAAACCCCTGTTCTCTCTGGAGTTACGTGGGTAAAGCTGATTCTGCAGGGAGACTAAGGGAGATAGGTTAGCAGGTGGTCTCCACTTGCTTCCAGCCTTGATTGCAGAAGTCTTTATTATTGTGTACTATGTTAGGGAAAGTGGGAGAAGAACCAGACCAACACAAAATCACCTAAAAGAGATTAGTCTGAAATAGGATCCTTTTCGGGTACTCTGAGCTTGATTCTTATGCAGTTACTCACAGTAGGCATGTCAGAGGCTACATTTGTAAGCAACAATGTTCTGTTAGTGGGAAAGGCTGGTGGAAATCAGACTTAGACATCAGATTCACCCTGCTTACCTGAAAATAAAAAATTGAGATTATTTGCAGTAAAGCAATTTATTGAAGCAAATTATTCTTTTCTTTTCCCTCCAGGTGTTAGCATGCTTTAAAATTCACATCTTCAGCCTTTTCTTAAATAGTAGGGCTAGTGACATACATACCTACAAATACAAAGTGAGCTCTGTGCTGTATGAGAAGCACCAGTTGTAAAAATCAGC